CGAATCCTTTGCCTTGAGGCCGCATCTCGAGTTTCATCGATTCCCTGCAAGAGGTATTGCAGAAATTCTTGCAGTTGTTTTTTCTTCTCCATAAGGTTAGGTTAGGTTAAAAAAAAAAACTTATATAACCTTTTCTCAACGTTGCGTTTGAATTTAATTTTCTTACTTGCAATAACAAATGTGACGTCCGTACCGTAAAAATTCTCGTAATCGTAAACGATAGACGAACGACAAGGTCTGACGATAATGCTCATACAAGCGGATATACAATACATATGAGAGGACATTTAAACCAAGAAAAATATTTTTCACTTCGTAGAACTTCCTTGCACAATCGGGAAAAATTATGCAACAGATCGATGATAGCGTTAATTCGCGTCTAGATTTTTCGTATATCTCAAGTGTGAATCATCTCACAATACGATGTTATTTACATCGCAGATGTGTAATTATTTGTCTTGTCAATCTGTGAATCCACAAACACATTTTCCATCGAGCAAACTAAACTTTCCGAAAGTCATATCAAGAGACTCTTTCAGTTACTTAAGATGTACGTAGAAAATATTATTCAATATCTTGCAGATACTCGTGTACATGTACGAATTACGTAATAATATTTGTCGTCTCGACCAATACTCGAACGTATACCGGTTATATATTCGAGTATCAGTAATCGAATGTACATGCGCAGCAACGCACAATCGCAAAACACCATTAAATTTCACACAGCTTTCTCTATTTTAGAGATAATAATTGTCACTGCGAAAGTTCCTCTGTTACTTGTTGTGAAACTTTTACGACAAACGTATATATTTTGCTGTGTAATTTATTTAACAATTAACGTAACACTTGCGACTTGTATAATGTGTAGAATTGCAAAATGAACTCATTTTGATTTAAAATCATCTTAAATCGAAACTAGCACAAGGATGTAGAAGAGGAAGAAGAAGAGACGTCGAGTCAACGAGAATGGTATAAGGTTCCAATCAGGTTAGCAAAACCACTCTCGCACGCTCGAAAGCAACGGCGAAAGCGAATCTCGTTCCTTCCGTTTTACTAATTTGGTGACTTAGCTCTTCTTGACACTTCTTCCGATTAAACAGCTGTTTACGTTTCACGGCCGAATAATAGTGCGTACGGTCTTCTCTCTCAGTGTGTGTGTATTATAAACATTAAAAAAAAATAAAGATACACTTATCGTTAGAGAGACCACTTTCACAAAGTTTTATAAATTATTCCACACGTGCAAAAACATTACGTGCAATATCTTATCGATAAATTTGAAGATTCTCAGACGAGAAGTAATTCTGATGTAACTGTGTTGGCAGAGGCAGAACGATAGCGACGAAACAATCGAATCGTTTTCCGTTCCGACGCTTTTGTCGTAATCTCATGAATATGTATGATCACTTTCATTCGCGGTTGGCAACTTCATATATAGGTATATAGGGCGATTCTGTGTTTAAGATAGACTATTCAGTGCTTAGCACGTGTGCAAGTAAATTCACAGATTCTTACGCTTGGATCGCGACATTGTACGAAGTCGTTTGAACCAGAGACAGAAAGAAAGAAAGAGAGAGAGAGAGGGAGAGAGAGAGAAAGAGAGATAGACGATACTTCGTCTATCGCAACGGAAACGGCGAGCAGAAACGCCGATAAGTTTCACACTCACTACATTGGCACTATGTTGTTTCAATAACAAAAATATGTGCACTAAATAACTTGCGTACGCGTGACTCACAATCAGCTTCACCGCGTTGACCGAGAGAGATTTAGTCATGTGATAGAATGCAGTTATGAAAAGCAGGGGACGGTAATAAATCGAACGCTATTAGGCTTCGCATTATACTGACATTACGTGTGTTTTGCCAATGAAAACGTACCGTTATTACAAGCGAGAGAGTACAATGTTTATCTCTTACTTGCTAAGCCGCAATAAAAACTACAATAATAATACAATGTGATTTATAATAATAACAATTCGCTTTTGTAGCGCGAGTTATCTGTTTTGTTTAATCAAAATAAAAAAAGAAAAAGGATAAGTGCGATTCACTTTTAAAAGCACAAATTGCGCGGTCAGAGTTAGGATTTAATTGGACCGGATTAAAAAAGTTTCCGCCGCTGCTTTGAAAAAGATCGGAATGGATTTCTCTCTTGACACAATTATTCTTGATCATTTTTCGCGAAATTGTGTGTGCGGAAAAAATAAAAATTGTCGAAGTGTAATTTGCGCAATAATCAACTTCTCAAGTAAGTTAATCGATTTGTGATATTCTCATGCCGCGCGCAAAGGCCATGTCTCGGGGCAGTGAGAAGACAGGAACGCGCAAGAATGTCAAAGTTTACCAGACTATATGCGATTAAAGCAGTGCAAAAGATCGTCTGCGCGGAGAGCGAGAGCGCGATGAAAATGCGACGCGATTCACTGGCCACGGGGATTAATTTAAATCGATCCGCGGCCGAACGGTATTGTGCAAAACCGCAATTGCTCCGAGCCCTGGCAACAACGAGGAAGACGAATTGGGGCGTGTAAGCGTCGTTTGTGAGATAAAAACAAAACAAAACAAAAAAAACAAAAAAAAAACGTGCAGTTCAATCGGGCTATCGCGCACTCGTTATGTCAGTTAAAACGTCGATGCAATGCGCGTCCGATCGTGCACGTGCCCGTGTAACGCGCACGATAAACGTCATTTAACTTTCCGGTTTCCGTTAATTATTACCGACAGTAGATTAATTATTATGCGCTCCCACGAAGCTTCATTAAACGTTGAATTAATTTCTATCTCGATCATCTATTATCTGTATTATACCGTGTTTCACACGGTCCGTTACGAATATATTATTCACAAACGGATATATCTAGAAACGAAATCTGTTGACCTATATAATTATCTCATCGCAAATTAATTATTCATAATACGACAATATAAACGTTAAATACTGCACGTCGTTGGTTTATATCTTCTGTTGCTTGAAAAATCGGAGAGCATATAAGAGAACTATATATATATATTTCGAGGTATCTCTGTCGTATACGTTCGGGCTGACAGATGCCGGGGGCTGACTTCGTTGTTCCCGTCAAACCTAATCCATCGGGTTCATTCCCTTTGCGGGGACAAGTAATTTCATCTCTTCGATTGAACGACAGAAAACTTAATTACTATCGCGCGCGTCGGCCTGTTCCCCGCGGGCAAAGCAAGAATTCCGTCTCCTGGCCTGCGCCCTTGATTGAGATCTCTAAAGCAAGTTACGCTCCTATTGAACCACATCATCCCCCTCTTCCGCTTTGTCGGGCATCGATAGTGTACACACGTGGCGACTGTGTACTTCCTATGTGTATTTTATAGCTTCGACTGTCGCTTTAACGACCGAGATTATTTATTATTACTGCAAGCAGACATATCGCGCGTCTGTCATAATTGTACAAGACGCTTCTTTCGGGCTCGTGTTCGCAACGACGTGTCCGTTCGAGACGTTTAATTTCACTTTCACCCGGCTGCAACTTCTCGTCGATTCTGGTTCCGAGGAATGCACCAGACGCACCGAACTTACGTACATGTACGGGTAGAATATTCTTAATTGTGAAAATATTAAGAGGCTTAAATTAATCATCTACCTTTTGTTACTTTCTGTCTCTTCTCGAAGAAAAGAAATTAAATATTTCAAGCCGTTTGTTTCATTACTCGTAAAGCTCGAAGCTTTTATTAAATCAAATGTTTTGTTCACAAAAAAATAGAGATAGAGAGAGAGAGAGAGAGAGAGAGAGAGAGAGAGAGAGAGAGAGAGAGAGAGAGAGGAAGGAACAAATAAAATATTTCAGCGTTTTATTTCGACGAAGTTTCTTCAACGTGACTCTTCTTCTTGAACTTGAAGTTTTCTTGAATTACATTGCTGAGGTTTTAGAAGTACAAGAACACAGAGAGAGAGAGAGAGAGAGAGAGAGAGAGAGTAAAATTCGACGTGCCGTTACTCTAATTATTCGCGTCAGCTTGTTCTTGCATTCCTTAAGACGCGATAACAGTCACGGAAGTCTCGCGTATGTTGCTAAACTTTCGCGATTCATATTCAAATTGCGTTTGTATTCTTCATTCAATTTCTAACCGTGAGAAATAAACTGAATGCGTTCGTTGCAATATATATGTTATAATAAGTACCGGTATCCGTGCCGTGTCGTGTACACACACGCAGCTGTCCTCTCGACATATAACTTCATTTATTCTCCCTTCTGAAAACATAATTCGAAAACGCCGGCGTGCCAAGGTAGCTTAGATATTCATGACAATTGTCCACATCATTATGACGTCCGCCTCCGTGATTAGACGCGACCAAGCGGAACGAATACCGGACGGTCGAACCAATCGTCCACTCGCTTGAAGAAAGAAGTCGCGCGCTTCTCGCCAGCCTTCCTGATCGATGGCACGCGGAAAGAAGCGAATCTCGAATCCAGATATACACGTTCAGGGCAGAAGAAGGGAGCGAGAGGGTTTTACAGACACCGGTGGATCAAGGTGTGCTCGTTCAGGTGGGGATGAAGGCCGCTGCGGACTTCGCGCGCGCAAACACCTCGTTCGGCGCACACCTAGACCTACATAAGCAAGATAGAGAACGCGCTAACGACAACGTCTTGGCGCACCGTGAGACGTGCACGTGCGGTCAGAGACCGGTAGTTGCGACGCGCAGCTTCCTCGCGACCGAGATAGGTTTCTCAGTATCTCGCAGTTTGCAAAATGCGAACGTTGCCTCACGGTGCGAAATTGGATAGGACAAAAGAGTATCTCTCGACGTCGAGAGCGATGTTTTGATTTATGAAAACACGCACGTTAGTAACGTATAAACATGATCCGACTTTTCTGTAAGTTTTTGAACTTAAAGACGTACTACTTTTAATCATTTCTTCCGAAGATGTAAAATAAGAGAACGTATGTGTGGGTGTGTTTGCGTTATATTGCACTCTCGCTATTTTGAATAAATCATAATTTGAGGAATTTGATTTGTTTTAGGTCTTATCGATTCAGGCAGCCGCTTAGAGATGTGGTCACGCACGCGGCTCGTCTTTTTGACGTCGGTATTTACGCTGTTGATCGGCGCTTGCATTACCAAATCACAGCGACCGCAACTCGGCACCGCCGTCAACATCTTCAGCCGCTACGGTTACCTGAGCATCAGCATGCGAGTGGTACCGCGCAACGACACGGAACCCTGGATATTTCGCGAGCCCACTTGTGACATCTTTTTGAATCCCATGCCGATGCCGCCCAAGCAACGCCAGCAGGGCAAAGCCGGCACCGCTATCTTCGACGGCGACTTCCACATGGAGTTCTGTGACAATATCAGGCACGTGGTTGTTTTTGTAAAGAGTAGATAATATCAATAAATTGTTTTTTTTTGGCAAAGTATTGTATTTTACTGAAGATTCTTGACAAACGTTGAAAATGTATTTCTATATTTGTAAACGTGTGTTTGTGTTTACAGACAGCTTCTGCAGGCGTACTTTCGCGACTTCACTTTCGAGAAACTCGACAGGCCATGGCGCGCCTTTACTGGAAGCTGGTCGAAGATGGCGATAGCCAAACATCTCGGTATTAACGCGTCCTTCATCACGGGCGATCACTGTTACGTCTTAGTACGCGTCGCCAGATTCCACGATAGTCAACGACTTGCCGAGACTCTCGTCCTCAATAATTCCGTGGTGCAAGGATCGGAGAACGTCACGATCGGTGATACCGCGAGCGTGGTGGAATTTATCAGAAACTTCGGTTCGCACTACATCGCTTCTTACAAAACAGGGAATTCCCTCTATCAAGTAAGAAATTATAAAGTTATAATAGAAAAATATTTTTTTTAATATTGTTAAATTTTATATATATATATATATATTTTTCTCTTTTCCGACATTTAAAATAGCAACTTTATAATTGTGATTTTTTAAAAATGAAATATCTCAACGCAAAGAGAAAAAGAGAGAGACAGAGAAAATACATTTAACAAATATTTTTACGGAGACGATTACGAGATTTTTCTAAGAAAGAGAAAAATTGCACACTTACGTAAAATTACGATCAGTCGTTCCAATACTGCAACGGCAGTAAAACCGAGCATGAAATTCGCTACTTTGTACCGGTGCATCCTCTCCTTAATTATGCGGTCCGTTGATCGCTGTTGCAATCGGCTCACCATAAAAAGAGTGCAGCTTCGGTGCAGCGTCGGTTAGATAAAAGTAAAACAGCAGATCTCATTTATCATACGCTCTATCGCGCAACATCCTTAGGAGCGCCGCACAGCATCCTTATTTCGTGTAAAAGCTGCGCCAAGCCTAACACCTTATTATACAGAAACGTAATTTTCGCGAATAAAGTTTGCGTCATCATGTCAATGTCAGTAAAAGTGATATTGCATAACTCTCTCTCTCTCTCTCTCTCTCTCTCTCTCTCTCTCTCTCTCTCTCTCTCTCTTTCTCGCGATGTCGCAATCGAGTGATCCAATCTTCGTTAAAAAAAGAAAAGGAAATCGGTGACACAAAGCGTATCTCGTCATCTCGAATACGCGCGGACGCAACAATCGTTCGATTTAAACGCTCGACGAACTACCACATGGAATATTTCTTTTTCAGGTCTTCGTGTACACTCCAAATGTGTATTCGCGGATAAAGGAACGGCTGAAAACACGAGGAGTGGCGGACTTCACGGTTCAAGAGCTCAGCAACTACTTCTCGCCGTGGTACGCGGAACATATGGGCTCTATACAATCGGCGAGCGGTAATCGTAGCGTGGAAGCGTGGGCCGTGCAGCGTCTTCGAGTGAGTTACTACATCTTCACCTACGCCAGTTTGCTGAAGCTGCACGGGGACACGGCGTTGCTCAGGCAACTGGATGTTCTTCTGGGAGATGAAGCATTACTGCAACTGCAACTGCGGACGTTGGCGTTCGCCTTTAAAGATCCGAAGCGTCGCGAGTGGTTTTTGGAAGTGCTCGATAACTATTTCAAACTCTGGGAGGTGAACATGTGATGACGTAACACACCATTTGCGAAACATTTAAAAATATCGTCGATTGTGTGTGTGTGTGTAGAACCGACGTAAAAATGTGAGTGATACATTGATCACTTCGACACGGTGTCAGATCCTACGAAATCCTTGGAAATAATCGCTACGATCTAGCGCCGGTCGACTAACTATATAGGTTCCTCTGTTGAATGGATATATACATATATCTTATATATCCTTCTGCAACGTATATACAATAACGTTAAACTCGCGTGAAAAAAAGCCTATCATTATAAATAAGTATTTATTATATTATAATCATTAGTAGAGAAAATGTCTTTATACGAATATATTTTTAACATATTAAAAATATTATATTCGTATAATCTGACTGATAAACATGGTGTTATTTTATTATATAT